AAGAAAACAACTGCAATTGTCAAAAAAACATCTTGTTTAAGTGTAGACACGTGATTGAGTGTTTTTCTAGTAGCATTTTGTATCCCTCAAAAACCATAAATGATATTTTGCTGAGCTATTTTTACAATTGATGTAATCTCTGACTGCTTGATTCCCAAACAAAAGTGTTTGTTTTCCTATATATTTTGTTTTGAATATTGGCTACTTTCTACTGATTTTGAAGGCACTCACACAGTAGGTGTTAAGGAACTTGCAACAAATATCTTTATTATAAGTGAGTTCTTCTCAATTTTATAATTGCATTGATTTTCTTTAGAATTTTGCAAAATTATTTTGTTTTCAATTTTTTCTTCTAATCCGCTAATTAAGTTTTAACGGCACTTGCCATACCAACATTCCATTAAATTTGTCTATAAGATCTATAAGACAACATGCATAAAGCACTTTTCGGAGTTAAATCCTTTGTTAAGTAGGCGTTTGCAAAACAGTGGGTATTCAATTTTAAATAGGATTACATTTTGGAATCTTAGAGAGCCCATTGGTTACCTGTAAACAATTCAATTGTTGTGTGGCATTAATGAAAAATTTATTAAAAAAGAATAAGCAGAAGTTTTAAAAGTTGGATTCCATGTATTATATTGAAATATTGATTTTAGGATAGAATAGGTTTTTTATTGAGTATTATTTTAAAAACTCTTATAAATTTGAATAAGAAATCAACATTTTTTCAACATAAACATATTTTTTTGAAATAAATTGTAATATCAATTTTCGTTGCAAAATTTTGTTACCATCACCGACGAGCGTTGGATAGGCAAACGTAACTACGAGCATATTTATTTAACTATATACATAAGTATATAGTATTTATATATGGATCGTGCACTGTTTACGTTTGATAGGCAGCGATTTTTGTCGCTAAATAATTTTTCGAAGATCTAATTATATAAATTCAGTAATACTTTTTTTTATATTTAATTAATTGATCTCGGTCTGAACGAAATTTAAAGAAATAAAAGAAAAAAATTCCTAATACCTACATAATTCATATTAAATTAAAATGATAATAAAATTTGTTAAATATTAACAATTTTTATTTTACTGGATAATTTTTTGAAATACCCAATTCTATTAATTAGTCAGTACTCTTTTTCAATTTAATCCACTGATCTTGAGAGGGGCAATTGGAATTTTGATTTGTTAATTTGAAAGATTATAGTTAGTTAGTTGTGGCGAGTCCTCCTTAATTAGCTGAAAAAGCCTATTAATTAAACCTATTAATAGTGGGTAGTAGAGAAAAGGTCAAACTAGAACCAGCAAGAGCCATGTATAAAAGCAAGAATCTGGCTAATGCTAATGCTAGAGATATCGCCGAGTGAATTGAAGAAGGAGTCCCCTAGAAAGTTAAACCTAGATTTGACCAGACCTGGAGAAAGACACATCAAGTGTTCCAGTGTCCTTTCTTCGTGAGCTGGTAGATACACACTGCAAGACGTACCACAGGGTAGGCCGAGTCTAGCTCCATGCCGTTTAGCAAGGGTCAACTCATTATTTGCCAGTCGCAAAAAATGGTTAAAGGATTATAAGTAAATATAAATATATAAACCTAATATTAGGTTAGTAGTTATCATTTTTTTATAAAGTAAAGAGTATGTTTATAGTTACAATTATATCAATACACTTCTTGCTGCACATATGTCGAATTAATTGCGTTAGTGTAAACGCAGTAATACATTAATTAAATGCTTTAAAAAACACTATCTAACATTTTTCATATGCATGGGACAAATTATCTTTTGTGAAGACTATTATTTAGGGTTTACACTTATACTATATATATTAAAAAAATTATATACCTATATATAAATATATATATATATATATAGGTACATATGATAGACATCAATTTTGTTTCAAATTTTCTAACAACAAACTATAAAAATTCTTTTTTGAAATGACGTTATAATATTGAACTATAATAAAAAATGGTAACAAATTTTTATGACCTCTAAAACACTCGTAATTTCTTAACAATTAGTTATAAAATAACCCCTTAACTCTATAAATTTTGTGAAAAACCCAAGAGGTTTCATATTCATTTCTTTTTAAAAGTAAAATTCTACACACGTTTTAGGAAAACAATAAAAAAGATGGAAAAAAAATAAATAAAATTTATGATTACAAAATTCAGCTAATTTTATTTTTATTTTTTAAATAAAATTGTAAAAAAGATTTATAACTATTGCACGGTGGCCTTGTTCACGATTTTGTCAAATGGACGAAAATTTGTGAATTGTTCACGCAAAAGATCGAAGTTAAAGATCCTGTCGTACTCGTACATAATAGAGCGTTTGTGTATACATCGTATACGCTATTGAGACGTATGTAAGACATTGTTGTAGAGGTAAATTCTATATTTACCGAGAAGTGGTCAGAAAGGCGATAGAACAATGGACTCTGTTACCTGAGAATGAATGCACATCGCCTCACGCCTACCACGTAACTAAAAGATTTATGAAGGCAAGGAATTAAAAAAACAAATTTTGCATTGGAAAAGAAAGAAAAGAAAGAGTTACTTGTTAATCAATTCGGTAATTGAGTCTAGTGAAATTCAAATAAAACCATACTTACATTTTCATTCCAAATCGATTAGGAAGGATAATAATGAAAGACTGATATAAATTGTTCAGTATATAATTTAAATGTTCTGAGAATCAGATATTCGACTTCCAGATAGGCTAGGTTAATTAGAGTGATCTTTGGGATCTACTAACGTTTATAGGCTCAATGCATTGCCGACAACACTGACATCTTTACAATTTATGTTGCTACATTATTTCCCATTTAAAATGTTTCAATGTTTCCCATGTTTTAAAATGTTGTGTTCTCAGCATATTTTTAGTTGTTCTATATAAAAAAATTTTAACAAATGGTTATATAATACTAGCGGTGTATTCATATCTTTATATATCCTTAAATATCTTAATGTGTTTTTAATAAACTCTACTCTCAGAAAAAAAAACCTATAAGATGAGTGAGAAAAATTTCTTACATACAATAAAATAATTTATAAGCAACTTTCCAGAGCCATATTTCATTTCTATCTATGTTCCGTGGAAGTTTTTTTAAATTAAAATAAAATGTCGTGTAAATTTTAGTTTAGTATAGTTGGCAAGCTCATCTATCTTACAGTAACATGCGATACAAAAATAATTATTAAAATTGAGTTAAAATAATTTAATCTTTTTGAATTTTTATATTATCTCTTAACATATATATGTATTCCGGATTGATTAAATTGATTTTATTACAAGAAATACTAAAAATATTTGGAGAAAAAGTTACCATTATAATAACTCGAAGAACTCTCTAATGATAATATCTTAAGAAAACATGTACCAGGTAGTTAACTGACGGTTAATCGTTTGTTCAATGGAAAGGTTATAGATAGAGAGTTGAGAAGATATACATTAAAACAAATATCAACCTACAGACTCTTCCCAACTGTAATATTAAGTCAAGTTAGTATCTAGCAAATCTGTTCCTTACTTTAAATATAAACTGTTCATAGGTAAGTAAAATCGATCTAAAAGTTACTAATATTGACTTTTCTTCCCAGAGAAGCGGACGCTATATCTGGGGTAACTTTTCAAATCGAGAATTATTTTTAATACAATTTTCATTTTCGTTTGGTTAATCTCGAGCGAAGTGTATAACACTTGAGATTAATTTATGTCACTCTAGATATTATAAATTTATATTATTTAGAAAATTTATGTCTATGGTATTGTCTTATGTTGTTAAGTTCTGTTTAGACTGATGTGGTGTATTTGTTAGGATGTATGGTTAATAAAATAGAATCTAGTTGAAGTTTATTCCATTTATTGAAACATTGAAATGACTTCAATTGATTAATAATAAATACCACTAACATTAAATGGTATTTTTAGGATTTAATATTATCGCTTTACAATTTTTATATAAACGATTATGGGATTGTGTTCTTATAAATTTTAAAAATAATATTTGTTATTAATGTTATATCTAATAATTTTTTGTAGTGCTTTTGATTGGTAATAATCTGTAGAAAGCATAAAATTTATGTTCATACCTAGAATTTTCTTTTAGGCCAGAAGAAAAGGAAGAAAAAGAAGCGTATCCATATATTGACTTCCTGATAATGCACTGTAAGATTGAAATATACAGTAGAAAGTGAATCTCTCAGCTTTACTTCCTATATTTAAGAAATTTATAATTAGTTATAACTATCAAATAAAAAATTTGATAGATTGTTTCCCTTTAACACCGTTTAAACACTGTATAAGTGTTTAAAGCACTATTACTAAGCTTAGAGTTTCTTAGTATAAAAGTTTTATTAGTATTCCAGTTAGTTCAGGTGGAGAGAGGACGAGTCCTCCTCAATTACCCAAAAAGCCGATTTAAATCCACAAAAACCTCGTAATAGTGGGTAGTAGGTCAAAGGTTAAACTATAATCAGCCGGAGGCACTAACAAAGGCAAGAATCTGGCTAATGCTAATGCTGGAGATATTAAGTGAATCGAAGAAGGGGTCCCCTAGAAACTTAAACCTAGTTCTGTTTAAACCTGGACAAAAACGTATCAAGTGTTCTGGTGTCATTTCCTCAAGAGCTGGTACACACACTGGTAGATTGGTCAAGTAGCCCTTGACCTTGACCTTGTCGGAAAAACTGGTCATGAATCAGCCCTCGACTGTAGCCGACAGGGGTAGTGATCGAAATAGGTGTATCTGTGGAAGAGGCGCCTAGTTTAGCAAGCTCGTCAGTGCATTCCTTGGGCTTTAAAGTTATATATAAAAATAATATCGACATTTGCACATTAAATATATAGATAATAACCGAATTATTATATATGAATTCGATTTACAATAATATTTTCCGTTTAAAATTTAACTTTGCTTTTAAAACTTGTTTTAAACAAAATAAGATCAGTAACAATAGAAGAATTAATACACGTACCAAATTTAGATATCTGTTTTCTTTAATTTTATTTGAATAACTCAAAAATAAATTTTTTCACTCCGTAACACAAATGATTTGGTCGTTATCATGACCATTTAATTCCTCCAAGGCTTTCTAGCTTCCAGGGTTGTCTTAGCTTTCTTTAGTTTTTTAAGTTCTGATTTTTCTTTAGAGGCTTCATTTTGTAAAGTAGAAGGATACCGTGTCGTCTTCTCCAATATTCTTGGTAAAGTAGATTTTTTCTTTACAACTTTTGTAACGTTTTCTGCAGCTTCCTCTTGCTTTAATACTTTGGTTTTGAAATTACGCTTAAGATGCGGCTGTATTAAAGTTGGTTTTATTTTCTTTTTCCCTTGACTGTGATGAGATATATTTGTAAATAGCTCAAACCTATCCTTATGATGATCACGGTTTTGATTAGTAACTTTGACTGTTATTTCTTTGTTACTTTTAGCTACAGAATTTCGTTTTTGTTGCTTACATTTTCTGTTGTCTAACAATTTGAAACTACGCGGCAAAACCCTTTTTGATTTAATATTTACAAAATATTGGTTATCTTTTAATTTCGTAATATTTTTCATCTTTTCTAATTTTTCCGAGTAGTTTCGTATTATCTTTTCTCTGGCCATTTCGACTTTTTGAGCGGCGCTCTTCAATTTTGAATTCTCACTTTGTGCTTTACGTTGTATACTTAAAATTTTTTTGCTGCGGCGATCATCGTACTGCTTCATCCTGGAACTCAACCTTGTTTCTATAAGTTGTCTATAACTTGTGAACATCTTATGTCGATTTTGTATCACCTTGCCAACCTTACGTAGCACGTCATAGTTTTGATAATATTTATGACGTCTTACTGCAGCATCAAACAGTTTTTGCATAATTTCTTCTAGAGTGCGGTGCTTAGCTTTTGTTGATGACACTCTCGAAAAGATAGCAGGTTTTTGAGTTGAAAAGGCAATATCCTTTGATATTGTCGTCAATTTATCAGTTGCTTGATTTTCACCTTCAGCTCTATGTGGCTCTGTAATAGCCGATGATAATTTTGTATAGTCTATAGAATTTAGCGAATTTCAGAATTTTATTTCGGGTAATATGTGATTTGAATAAATCTTACCAAAATTTTGTTTTTGATCGGTTTTATTACACTGAAGGTGAGTCTGAACTATTTTTGCTTCTTTCTTTGATGCTGATCCACTTTGAGTTAAGAGTGGAAGTGAAGATGAGTACTTTATATCGAAACTGATACCATTTTTAGTTGTTTTCACGTTTGATGATTTCCATGGGAGGTCGCTATTTTGTTCCATGCTATGCTCTCTATGCGTGCTAATAGTTGCTGATGACATCGTTAGGTAGTCTATAGAATCTATTGAATTTCGGAATCAAATTTCGGTTAATATGTGATTGCAAGTATTCTTACCAATATCCTGTTGATGCTTAGTTTTATTGGACTCAAGGAGAGTACAAGTGTTGGGCTGTTCCTCACCTGTTGCACCTTGGTTTGTGATTGAATCATCTGTTGATGTGATATCCATATCAAAACTGATGCCATTTTGACTTGTTGTTACGTTTGATAAGTTATTGATTATTTCGTTTGTATCCATTTTTTATTGAGGCATCGATTTGGTTGGATGCAAGGAGTTCATATATTTAAGTACCATTGATCCGCAAATTAAATTTCACATTAAATTTTACTTACATGAAGAATGCATAAATGGTACCAAATTTTTGTGAACTGTTGCTTAAAAAATATATTATTTTATGAAATTTATTAAAAATCTATTTGGCAAGTAAAACGTAAAAGAATATTTAAAAATTTCTTGACTTGCTAAGAAAAAAATATTTTTCTTATATGATTTCACATACTAGTATTTTACACAGATTTGATAGAAACAATAGTACACACCAAATTATGTTCTTGCACTGGGATCAGTTCTATAAGATAATAATGAATAGATAAAGATTATGAGTCTCTCAACAAGAGGGACTTTTCAAATATTTCTGCAAACGGTTCTATAGGTGGATTTATGAAAAATCACTCTCAGAGGAATTTGGAGAAAGATTTGTGAGACGGATATGTGTACCTCTTTATTACGAACAAGTTTACTGAAAAAACGAAATTCATATTTTTAAAAATAAATATTTTTGTTACTACTTTAAACCTATAATAATAATAGTTTGCAAATTTAAGCTTAACAGAATCAAATTAACTTAAAACCATTGACAAATTAAAAGCAAAAAAAATAAAAAACTACATTTTCAGTGCAAGGAGATATTTTTGATAATATGTAATATAATATATTACCGAAGAACAAATTGATAACAAATATATAAATAAAGAATAGATCATAAATCATAGCCATAAATCAAATAAAATGTAAAAATTTCATTGCATAGGTATATATATTTATATATACATATATATATATATTTACAATATATGAGTATACCAAAGTTCAACTGTGACCCTAAAATAGTATTAAAGTGTGGATAGATTACTTCTTGATTCCAAGTAGGCGGGCAAAGTATACAAACTACAAAAGTCAAAATCATTCATTGTTCTCTGTGATTTCACTAGTGACACGTAGTTACGAGCACATGCAACCAGTTAAGTTTTGACTTCAATACCAGGTAAATTTTCTTGTGATTTGCTTTTTACCAATTACGCTCTTACGCAGATACAAGATAAGTTAGTTATTCTGTCAATGAAGCATATGAAATACATTGAAATCACATTGTAGAGCTTCCATTCTACGGGCACATCTTCACAAACGAATTCTACACATGCAAAACTGCGTTTTTGTGTGAGGTTGTAAATTTTGTTAGTTCCTTGAATCCCGTTGTTGGCACAAACTGCAATGCTGCAGTTTTCAGGATATCTACTATTGTTTCCAGCCAGTTTTCAACGTTTTCACCTTGATTTTAATGGCATGCAAATGCCTGAGATGTGACCTTGTCACTTTTTTTTCCTATACTAATGGTTCAATTTATGACTTTATTAGCCTTAAATAAAATTTTACTTCTTTTTATTGCTATTCACTGTGACAGTGAGGTTGTGCAAATGCATAGATACATTTTTCTTCAGTTTAGAATTTGGATATTTATGGTCGTTTACTATTTTTTTGTTGTTGTGGCAGTGCAGAAATGGAAAAATGAAAAAAACTGCGATTTAATGATGCAAATTTCCTTTTCAGTCAAAGTCGTAAATAAATTGACTTTTCAATCGATGTTTGTTCTACGTTAGTTGAAATTCATTTGTTCTCTGCGAATGTGTAAATATGCAAAAACGCCCGCATCTGCAGTTGTTGTGCGTCCGCTGTGGTTTTGCGATTTTTTCGCGGATTAAATTTTTTGCACACTTCTTACCTAAGCTGGGTATGAAAAAAAGATACTTGGGCTCACTTGCTATAATAAAATTGTTTACACAAAAAATTAACTTTTGCACCGCAAAGGATAATGATTACAATTATTAGGCTATGTTACCTAATATATATAGAAGGTTGCTTGTTAAAGAGGGAGTATATATGGAATGACTTTTTCAAAAATGATTTCGTTACAATTTTCAAGTTTGTATGAATGTAGGTCATTTTAGTTTGAGTCGTACATAGTCTACTCTTAAGTCGTTTCTATTGTTGGTCAGAATACATAAATGAATATGAAAGTAAATATTTTTAATAATAAATTATTTTCTTAACATTCTTTTTCTTCTCTTCTTAATATAAACTATTCTTTCAATAGAGAGGTTTTTCGAATAGTAGTGATATTCACAAGAAAGAGTAGTATTAAAATTTAACAACTATAAGAAAACTTTAACAAATTAATTCAATGATTCTACAAATAGTTTATGATTAATTAATAATATCCTTTTTATACCAAATTAGTACTTAAAAACAGGAAATATAAGATTTTAGAGAAGCCAAAGCTGACTTCAAAGACAAAAGGTAGTTTAAATTGTCCATTCGATCCAACATTAAACATGACAAATATTAGATATAGACTCAGATTAATCACATGCTATTGTAAATTTACCAATTATTAAAGATAGAACTAAAGGATACCGACACTTGCAGATGGTATGAAAAGCAGAATAAAATTTTCGGTCATCTAATCTACTTGTACTCTGCTCTGTGAAACTAATTCAGTATCGTCATTTGACTTTGATTAAAAGATGCCAAATATCTTGAACCTGCAGATTTTATTAGCTTTGTGGACAGCATTAATTTGTGCTGGTTTATTCATAGATATAATTATACCTTATCATTTAGTTTGAAATGTAATATCATTCAAATATTTTTCAAGATGTCTTTCAGCACTGGTCATAATTTTCGTTGACTTGTCAGTATATAGCTGGCAATGTCAGTATAGGTTTTGTTAACATAAACATGATCCTCCAAAAAGTCCAAAATGATTAAAAGTCCAGTGGTTACAAATCAGCGCCAAAAAAGAAGCCACAAATCTCTCACATCGAATTATTTAATTTCACGTTAAAAAAAATTGGCAAACATGTGTCTTTACCGATCAGAATTGATAGTTTGCGTTACACTAAGTATAATAAAACATGAAAGAGTATGGTCCTATCATTCATCCTGAAGAAATGCCAAACCATTTAGTGATTTTTTGTGACTGCAATGATGTTGCGACAGTTATTGTGATTTTTCACTCCCTGAGATGCAACAATTTTATTTGATGGCATATTTAGCATGCGAAAAATTAGAATTATCAATGAAAAATATTCGATAAGAAATTCACCTACTAAAGAGTTACCATTTTTGTATAATAATATAATATCTAAATAATGTTCATATCTAAATATTTTTAACTAAAAAGAAAATTGAAAATTGATATTAATATGTCTATCTAAAGCATAAGATATTCTAAAAATTTTCATTACATTATCCTGAAGTAAATGATGAAAAAATTTTTTTCTAAAATTTAAGAGAAAAAACTTTTTCTAAAATATTTGATATTGATAATTTTGTTTTGAAAATGAAAAATAAATGTAAATAAATAAATCGACATCACTCTTAGTATCTCAGCGGTTGTCCAATGTAAACATACACGCAGGGTGCGGTGAACTCGTGCTATGTTAGAGTTAAAAATGCACTTAAAAATCCAGAACTAAAATTTCACTGGAGAATGCGTACAGCACTAAGAATGCGGCAAAATGCAAAATGCAATTGCAATCCAAAAAAGAAAATTTGTCTACTCTTTTGAAAAATAAACAAAAAAACCTTGCGGCATTTGTTGATGGAATGTTGTGCCTTCAAGGCAACGAATATGTACCATATATTGCCAGTGCTGTAAATAATTGGAGTTGCAGCAATCAATGTCGAAATGCAACTCAATTAGCGTTTGGAACGCGAAAGTGCAAAAATTATTGTTAAAACTAAAAAATGGATAACATTAAACAAATCCGGAAAACTGTAGTTCACCTCAGGGCAGAAATAAATAAAAAATCGACCACATACAATTTTTCATATGAAACTGAATTTTCATAGCAGATTTTAACTTCACTTTGCTTGGCTAGATTCCCAAGTCCGTCTGTCATTCAGTTCGTCTGTCAATGTTGGGCGAAATTGATTTTTTTACAGTTCGATTTTAGATTTCTGATTTTGATTTACAATTCAATTTTTGTTGATTTTATGTCAATGCTTTTGTTGTGTACCAAATTTTTGTTATTTTGCTAAATATTTCAGCGGCTAGCAATTTCAGCAATAACAACAACAACACAACAACAATTGAAACAATTCCACAAACAATCAAAAAAAAATATTTGAAAACATTTATGGACAGTGCATGTCACGAGCGCTGTGAGTAGCACTTGTTTCACGCTGGGTCCAGGGCTTGAGCTCAAATTCGTACTGTTAAATTGTGTGTTGATTTGGGATTAGCCAACTTCAGTCTCGGTATCTGCCTCCTGGTTTGTTTCTCATTTACTCATTGCCTTATGGAATGTATGCAGTTCCTTTGTGTTTATACGGAGTAAATGTATGGTTGCACTTTTCTGTGTTATCTGTCAGGGAGTTGCGTGCTGTTTGTGTACTGAGGCTAGTTTTATATTAGGAAATATCCTTAGGTAAATTAAACTCAAATACTGTTTACTGTGTTATATATCACTTCAGTTTGTTAAGTAAAATTATCATGCCTTTTTATAAAAAAAGCATGCCTACTTACTAAGTAAGAGACTCAATTTAATGTCAATTTTTTTTTGTTACAGCAATATACCTATACCAAATATTTAATTAACATAATGTGTATGAGAAAAAGTGTATTATTCATTACAGAAAGCACAGAAAGAACTCTCTTCAAACAGGTTGTAAACACCAATCATCACGATACCATGCAGGTTAAATACACGAGAGATCTAACAAATAACTTCAAAGTATATGAGGTAGTCCAGCACCACATAAACTTAAGTCCGCTGCTGTTTGACTTGGTTACGAATCTACTTAGATAAGAACTTAGACTTTGAACTTTATATAATATATGCCGACAATGTTGTCTTCTCGTATGATAAAGTCATACTGGAGAAAAAGTTGTGTCAGTATATATAATTTCCCGAATCTCCAATAGGTAGCTGATGAGTCAATCGAATACTGAAGCAAAACAGAAACGCTAAAAATTAGAGAAAAAAATTAAGGGAAAGTTCAAATGGTTAGGTTAGTTAAAATGATATACTTATATATATATAAGATATACATAAGATAAGCAACTGCACACTGAATTTAATGTAGGTGGTAAATCTGTAGAG